ATTTTGCTCTTTTTTAAAACTTACTTAAATAAAGCAAAGTTATTAAAATGGTTGGAGTGGAATAGACTTATAATGACTAGTATACGGGTCATGGTAAGTCCGCTATTCCACATATTTAAGCCATCTCATGTTTTTAAAATTTTTTAAACCGATGGTAATTAATGGACATTTCAAGCGGGTATTCTAAATATTACTTAGACAGCTACTAATATCTAATTAGTTGATAAATTGCGATTCGCGCAACAGCTATGTTATATGCAAATTGAAATTTTCTTCAGAATTAACTGGTCAAGAGTCCTAATAAGTACCGGATGGTATGAAAAAAAAATTATACTCTGAAACTAAATAAAAAAAAAAGTTAGCAACTCCAGTAGGTGACAAACAGAAAACCCAAAAATACTAAAACTACGTCATAATTTTAGATCTGCCAAATCCGGTAATAGAAATGCTCAAATATAAAGTATTAATATTAAATGATTTTTGTATTTAGAAATATACGCTAACTCTTAAACGACTGTAAAACTACCTTGCGGTAATGTAATTAAATCCACCAAATCCGGTAATAAAAGCAGCTTAATTAATAGATTCAAAATCATTTGATTTTTGTATTATGATGCGAGAGCCAACTGTACTCTAAAACCAGTAAAGCTCGGCCATGTGGTCTCTTCCTCTTCATTTCGATTATAACATAAAGCAGCAAAAAACAAAAAGTCTCATCTCTTTCGCCTACAAGTTAATTTATTGTAATCTGGGCATCTAACACCGTCAAGACAGATTACAATAAGTCAAGACGATTTTCTTATTTACATTTTTTGAGTAGTTTACTTCAGAATACTTCATTCCAAAAAAATATACGGGGTAAAGGTTTTAATAAGCTCTAAGTATAAGTAAGGTGCGTACGTGAACTTTCATATTGGCTCATATTCTATTGTTCACTAAAAATATCAGAAAGAGAAATATAGACAAAGTCAATGTGGAATAGAGTTTCTCTGTTTGTGAGTTTTTTTTTTTTTTTCTGTTTTATAACATAAGAATTTTACAACTTCGTGCTTCATAAAAAAAAAAAAAGTAAGTAAAAACAGATAGGGGCTCAAAGAAGATGAGGATGACAGTACGTCATCGCAAACAAACAAACATTTTTTTGTGTTTATAAAAAAAGTTAAACAAACTATTTTATAAATCTCTTATAAAATCCACTTATATTAGATACTCTTATAAGATCCGTATACGGAAAAGGTGCGCATATTAATTTTTTTGTGTACTTTTTGTCTGGAATCGCGCATAAAGCAATTAGTTTAGAAAATTATTTTATTTTACTAAATAATGTTAAAGTGAGTAAGAAGTGATCTATGTGGAATAAATTTGTCTGCAAAGCTAGGATATGCGTATAAAAAGTATAGAAAAGGTCGGTGTGGAATAGGTTTACAAAGACCCGTGTTTTTACAGGTCCAGTCATGAGAAATTTTTTATACCGATGGTCACGTTTCAAGCTGGTATATAGACAAGTACTAATATCCGATCGGCGATTTACGCAACGGTTACCGTAACAATTAACGTTTATAAAGGTTAATTATAATATAAATTTTTATTATTCATTGCTTTAATTAGGAAGCAATAAGTATAGTTTTTCTACATGTATACAGCTTTTTTCTACAGCTCACTACAAAATATTGACGTAAGGAATAAGTATAGAAAAAGGCCATTTGGAATAAATTTACAAAGACCCGTAATTTACGGGTCATAATAGCTAGTGATTATTATTTCGCAAGTTAAACTTGCTTAATGGTTTCAAAATAAAAAGGTCTTTAAAAATTAAAGAAGATAAACTATACTTCCACATATAAACAAAAGTTAAATTTTTATATACGTTTAGTTTATTGAGGATTTTTATTTGATTCAAAAATATTGAGGAATGTGCGAACCGATCTGCAGAATTAATTAAACAGATCGAGAGTTTCTGAAGGCGATAGAGACATTGTAACTTACTTTGATCAGTACTATCCCAGGAAATAACTTTATATCTTATATAACTATGAATAAAAGAGTAATAAAATTTAGTTAAATTTTTTTTATCTAAATGAGTACGCGCCTTATATAAAATTCCGATACTTTTTAAAACTTTCGAGCAGACATAGTTAATATGATGTTTCCATTTGATGTTCTCGTCAATGAAATTTAAAAGAATTTAAAATTTAACAGTCCTTCTTTTTGGTTACAGATTTGCATAAAACATTATCTCCTTTTCTATTTTTATACGGCTGATTATATTGTCTTAGCTGCTTTCTCACATTCTGTATCCAAGTTTTAGGTGGTGACTTTCGTTTCCTTGTTTTTCCTTAACGTAGGAGCAGACAATGAACTGGCGCTATTTTAGGATTATCACCATGATAACCAAGAACAGTCAGATAAGTTTCTGAATAAAAAAAATATATGTATGCATGTTTATGTATATATAGATATTTATGTGAGCAAAAACATGTTTTACCTTAAAAGTTTTGTTTTTTTGTCGTTAAAACATCCGCTACCATTTTGGCGTAAATAACTTTTTATTGGAAAAAACGGAGATAGCACATCATAATTTTAATTTTTAAACAGAATAAGGAGATAGAACAAAATGCAATGTCAGGTATAGTAAGTTAATTTTTTTTTTTTTTTACTGATTTATTTGTAAAGAATAAATATTTTATCCATAAAAAGAAAAAAAATTGATCAAACTCAATTTTTTGATTTGTGGAGGTAAAACAAAATAATTCTAACCTCGCGTATAGTTAAGGACGGTTTATACCAAGTTTTTACGAAAAAAGTGGTTGAAATCAATCAAGTACGAACTTGATCAATACATCGAGTTAGTACTTAATGCGCTTGATATTTGATTGATTTCAACCACTGCATGTTTAGCTGAACTTTTTTTGTAAAACCAAACTGTTTTGAACACAACGCACCGTTTTCTGATGTTTAAAGAGCAGATTACACATTATACATTCAAGCAATTTTTAAGAACAAAGTAAGGTAGATGTAGGTCTATAATTAGAGATAATAGAATCATCTCTATCTACTATTTGTTAAATAGAGGAGGATAGGTAAGAGTATCCCTTCAACCAGTGACCCACTGGTAGAAGGGATAGACCCTATAGAATGCGCCATGAAAAAGTCTTCAAACATTCACCAAGTAATTACAAGCACGTTTGTGTTGAATCCAATTTTTTTTTTTTTTTTTTTTTTTTTTATTTTAACGCAGATGTCAACGTTAGAGGTGTATTTTGCTCTTTTTTTTGTCTAAAAGAAAAAATTTTATACTTTTTGGTACTAGTTTTGTACAACGTTTGAAAGTTCTTTAAAAAAAATGCTGACTACTTTGAAATATTGGTTGAAAGTAATCGTTTGAAGTATTGGTTGTAAGTTTGTTTTTTTTCATTAAATATTTTAATCCAGTTGCACAGCTTGAGGAGGAGTGAACCATCTCTTCAAGGGAGTAAATTGTGGCTTACTCTTACCTAGTGTATAATTTTACGTTAAAAAAAGCAATTGTTTGCTTTGTTGTTAACATGGTATAACACAGAATGTAAACAACTATTTAGATAAATTTAAAATAATGGTAAACTTTATATCCTTAAATTATTACTTAATTATGTTATGCTTAGCAAATTAAAACTATTGTTAATTATCAAATTTTCATTTAATTACTTAAAAAAAATATTTTATCTTTAAGTTTCAGGTAAATAAAGCCTCACTCCTAAAATTTGTTCGGTTCATTAAAAGAACATTCTTTAATTATTACTTATTAAGAACACTCTACTGCGCCTGTCCCTTATTACTTATTAAGAACACTCTACTGCGCTTGTCCCTTATTACTTATTAAGAACACTCGGAACAGGCCTGTTCCTTATTACTATCTGTAATTTTTCGAGAAAAATAAGAGTGTAAGCGTAGAAGTAAACCAGCTGATATTCACAGAATACTGTTTATGTCAATAAAAACCAATATATCGTGGGCTCCATATCCTATTTTTATCTCGCTTTTAGTTTCCTTGACGCAATCATTTTTAAAAAAAAGTGGCTTACTCCTACCAATCCTTTCCTACGATAAAATATTAAGTATATAAGTCGTAAACTATAAATTATATACGTCAAGATGCAATTTAGTTTGCCGTTTAAACAATGAAGTTCTTTTTAAGTCTTTAATGATTCGACTTTTTTTTTCGACGGTTTTCATTTTTCTTCAGATAAGTTTTGATATTGAGGCATTACTTAGTCTTTAGCTCATCTAAAATGCAGAACTAGAATCCAAACCTGTTCGATTTTTTAGTTTTTGGAAGTGAACAAGTTCTGAGTTTACAATTTATTGGTTTTGTCATTTTTTGACAAAATATTCTACTTTACAGTTAAGTCTTTACACGCAACACAAGGGTTTTCTTCTATGGCATTATCAATAATACTTTCTGGATTGTTACTATTAGTATTGTTTATATCGTTATCAGGAACATTTTCATCAACAACATCTGCCACATCATTTTTGGCTATTGATCAATCTTCGTCGTTGTCCCTTTTTTCAAATAGTTCTTGAAAGATCAACAAATGCTGTTGTACCAATAAATGTTTTGGACGTAATAGTAGAGACGATGAAAAGATGGTGTGCTGAAACAAAGATTTTTTATGTTTTGTTTGAAGTTTGATCAGCACCATCAACGCCTGCCGAACTAAAACTCATAATTTTTAATATTATTAACAGCAAGAAATTCGCTACATTTTATTACTACTGAAGAATGTGTGTGTGCGCGCGCACGTATGTGTCACTCTATCTTTTGTTCTCTTTCTCAAGAAATAAATGCAGTAAAAAAGTTTAACTTTAAAAGATAAGTATTTAAATAAAAATAAAAAAAATCAGTTTTTAAAAGAGAAAAATGAATTGGTTTAAAATCAATTTTACATAAGCTTATGTAAAAATGTAAAATCCAAACTAGTTTGGAAAAACAAGTGAATTTAAAACAAACAACAAAAGAATTATTTACATAATTCATATTTACATATTTCAATATATTACATACTCAGTTAAAAAAAATTTTATACGAAAATGCAGTTATATACATGGGACCTGAAAATTACCAAAAATACACAATTAGCAGTCTGTAAAATACACAATTAGCAGTCTGTAAAATACACAATTAGCAGTCTGTAAATACGCACCTTGATATTAACCAGTATATATTATTGATGTAAGATTGTATTTTTAATCTATTTACTGGAAGTTAAATGTTATTAAATGAACAGCAAAATACATGTGTAAAATAGTTAAATAAAGCTTTTATGATATTGTTATCTTATGTTCCGTATAATTGATTTTTTTCAGTTTCAAACTTTAAAAGTTTTAATATTGAATTTACATCCTCTCTTATTTTATCAAAATTTTCCACGGATTTTCTAATATGATCTATTTCTGTCCTTATTTCGCATATAGATTGATTCAAGTCTTCCTGTAGGCAGTCATTTTGTTTGTTTTGATTGTTTGAATAATCCGTTACATAAATAGAATGACCAGGAAAAAGATTCAAAGCAGACGCCAGATTTGAAGCAATAAATTTACGGCTATGAACAGAATCATCATTGAGGATGTTTTCCTCTTTTTTATCGAGTAAACAATTTTTCTTTTTTAATTTTTCTAGAACATTTTTACGCTGTTGATTAAGATTGCACAACGAGCTACTGAGATCTTTCTCTTCAAGCTGATCGAAAAAACAAAAATAAAACATTTATGTTAACATTAAAAAAAAAAAATAGCAAACTTATTTTAGTGAACTAAAAATTTATAAATCATCTTTTTTAAAAAAATAAAAAATTTTATGAATATATGCCACGATATTATGAATGTAAAGTGTCGTACATAATCTTAGAAATTAGAGCAGTGGTTCCCAACCGGTGGTCCATGGACCCCTGGGGGTCCATAAGAACTTTTTAAGCGGACCACAAGATAAACGTAAATTCTAAATATTTTTTGGTAGTGAAACTTAATTTTGATTATTTTTTTCTGTTGAAAGAAACAAATTAAATTTTAAATTAAAAATGTAATTTATGCGAGAAAGCTGTTACACAAAATTTGCGTTAACTAATTCGACGAGGACTTGCGGACCTCTACGAAGTAATAAATACTATATAATATCATTTTTTATCCGTAAATTTAAAATGTTAAAATCTTATCTCATGGTAAAGATAACCTTACTGATTTGTTTGAAAGAACGTAATTTGTGTTATTTTCTATAAAAATTCGATACTATACTACTCTTATCTATAGATGCTTTTTATATTATTTTTTAAATACTTTAGATGTCTAAAAGTAAAAAAAGGTCATACTTAGATGAATACATGAGATATGGATTTACCTACATGCTTAAAGAAACCATTAGCTACCCACAGTGTGTTATTTGTTATAAAGTACTAGGAAATGACTCTATGAAACCTTCAAAGCTTGCTATTCACTTGAATAAGTGCCATCCTGATCTCCAAACAAAAGATACTGATTTTTTCAAAAAAAAATTTGAATCACTGAAGAGATGCAAATTGGATAAAACTGGGATTATTTACCAAACTCAACAGAATATAGTAGAAGCATCCTATAAGGTTTCATATATAATAGCACAGAACAAAAAAGCTCACACATTGGCTGAAGAAGTTATACTTCCATGTTCAAAAGAAATCGTTAGATTATTATTTGGAGAAGAAGCTGCAAAGAAGGTAGATAATATATCTTTATCAAATACTACAGTCAAACGAAGGCTAACGGATATTTCATCAAACATTAAAGAAAATGTTATTAATTAAATTAAAGAATCCCCATATTTTTCTATTCAGTTGGATGAGTCCACAGATGTAAGTTCAATGGCACAACTAATTGTATATTGTAGGTATATTCACAATAACAAATTTAAAGAAGAATTTTTGTTTTCTTCTTGCCTTGAAACAACAACAAAAGCAGCTAATATTATGGAAATTTTAAAACAGTTTTTCAATGACAATCAATTACAATGGAAATATTTGTTTGGAATTACTACTGATGGAGCTCCTGCCATGATGGGTTGTAAGTCTGGATTACAGACTAGGGTGAAAGAGATTGCTCCAAATGTAGTTGGTGTACACTGTTTTATTCATAGACAGGCTTTGGCAACCAAAACTTTACCAGGTAGTTTGAAAACTGTATTTAATCAATTAGTCAAGTTGGTCAATTATATAAAATCTTCTGCTCTTAACACTCGCCTTTTTACAAAATTTTGCTCTGACCTAAATGCTGAACACAATAAGTTATTGTTTTATACTTCTGTGCGATGGCTATCTGCTGGAAATTTTTTGGAAAGATTTTTCATGCTTAGAAATGAAGTGAAAGAATTTTTATGTCAAATGAAAAGTGGACTGGTAGAATATTTTGAATTTGATAATTTTGAAATAACAACTGCTTATCTTGTGGACATCGTAGGTCATTTTAACAAGTTAAATTTGCAACTTCAAGGCAAAAATGCTAATGTTATTACACATTCAGATAAACTGAAGGCATTTATTGAAAAGCTCAAACTGTACAAGACTAGAATTAATAATGGAAACTTGATCATGTTTCAAAATTTAAATAACATAATTGGAGTTAACATGCTTCCTGAAGTTATAAAGACAGAAATAGTTTGTCACCTAGATAATTTGATTACTGAATTTGGTAACTATTTTCCAGATATGAATCTTTTGAGCAGTGAAGTTATTATATCACCATTTTCTTATGATGTGAAAAATGTGAAAGAGGAAGCACAAGAAGAGTTTATAGAGTTAAAGAATGATACCACGGCTAAGGATCACTTCAAAGTAGCACCATTAAATAACTTCTGGTTGAAAATGAGGAATTCATATCCATTGTGTTCATCAATTGCACTTAAAGCCCTTATTCCTTTTTCAACATCATATTTGTGTGAAGCCGGGTTTTCAGCAATGCTATCTCTTAAAACAAAAAAAAGAAATAGACTTGATATTGATGCAGATATTAGATGTGCTCTATCAAAAACTAAACCAAATTTTCAGATATTAATTGCTAGTAAGCAGTGTCAGAATTCACACTGATCTGTTCTTGTATCATACATAAACTAAGATAAAAAATTTTTGTGTCATTGATAAATATTGATTTTGTGTCTAGTCTATTCAAAAATACCTTAAATAAAATACTATCCTTATGAATAAAAGTTACATAATTAAAATGTTCACCTTGTAATAATTTTTAAAATCAAAGCGGTCCATGAAGATTTTAGGATATTTAATTTGGGGAACGGGTTAGAAAAGGTTGGGAACCACTGAATTGGAGACATTGGGGTTGTTGGAATTTATCTTATCACCTAATTTAGTAGTAGTGTAGTGGTAGTGGTGTAGTGGTAGAGCGCTCGCTTCATAAACGAGTGGTTCCGAGTTCGATCCCCACCACGTCCCTGGTAGTACCGCGCTCAACTCGTTTCTCCGCGCAGCGGCCTTGCTCGTCAAGGTTCGTGCTTCGGAGTTATAGAGTTGAGAGAGGGTTATAACCTTAAATAAGTAGCCTCCTCGTCTGTAGTGGCCTTCTCGACCTTGAGGAGGTGAAATAAAATTAAAAAAAAAAAAAATTTGTTTAGGATTAAACCAAATTAAGTATAACCTTATGAAACCAACCTTGTGCAAACTAAAATTGTCTAGTTAATTATAACTTGCACAAGGTTAATTGCACCAGGTTGGGTTTATTAAAATAAAATGGTACAAATACTTTGTGTCCAATAAAAAATATTAATTCAACTGTGCATCATATGAGCATAAAAAATATATTTAACTAAATTTTGTTGAATTTAAGGTTTAATTTAAAGAAAGTTCCAATATAGAGGTAAGGTGGAGCAATATAGAAGTAAGATGGAGCAATGTAGAGGTAAGGTGGAGCAATATAGAGGTAAGGTGGAGCAATGTAGAGGTAAGGTGGAGCAATATAGAGGTAAGGTGGAGCAATATAGAGGTATGGTGGAGCAATATAGAGGTAAGGCGGAGCAATTTTTTTTAAGTACATTAATAAGTACAATTTATTAACTAAATTTTTAAATCATTTATTATTATTTCACATGGTTTTAGTGCAAAATTATTTGGCTTTTTTAATTATTGAAAACCTAATTTTTTATTTGCCACATTTTTTTTTGAGGCACAGCAACCTGCACACTGATGATCAAAAAAATTCTTTTGCAATTCCCGTATTTGTTTTTTTAAGTAATAGTGTTATCTATACTTTACTTTGTTTTGCTAAATTTTAAACACTTTTAGTCATGTTTTGAAACAATAAATGTACGTTTTTAACACAAAAACTTAAAACAAAGAACACAATGTTGTATTTGTTCCACAGTCGAAATTTTAATTAATTTTCTTCTAGTGGAGGAAAAATAGTTGGAAAAGCATATCGATACAACATCAAGAACATAAGTGTAAACAATTATAAAAATTAATTATGTCTTTTAAGTTTTCCCAATTTAAAATTTTTTATATTATTTCTCAAAACCCAAAAAATAACTGCACAGATGTCAACACCTGACATCTTAACAGGGAGGGGGGTCATTTCTTTGAAATTAGTTGTAATTGTTGTGATTTGAGTAACTTTTGCACAATACGTTCATAAAAAATCTCAAACCCAAAGTTTCTATTACCAAATCTTGGTGATTGAGTTTCGTGAGATAGAAAAAGGTTTTAGTGGCATGGAGAAGTTTGTAAAATGCACAAATATATTTAGTATGACAGCATAATGATTGATGGGATAAAGAAACGATTTTTTTTTTTAAATGTTTACGCTTCTGGAATAACAGATAAATGTTTTTAATACATAAATACTTTCAAATTTTTTTCGTGGATGTAAAAAACCGTGAAGGTTCATTGAAATATAAGTGTGTTTTATTCATGTAAAATCTTCTCATTCTATGGAAAATGCTGGTGCTGTAAATAATTTTAGTCGTTCAATTAAAAGTTATTTCTAAGATAGATATCTTAGCTGCTTAAGTTCTCATAATTAAGATAAATCCAGGTGTTAAATCTATCATGGTTTTAAATAAGATATTGTTTCTGAGCCGTGCAACTTTTACCGTATAATACTAGAAGTGTTAAAATTTGTTGGTCATGCGCAGAAGCAAGTGGGAACGAGATTACAGAGTATTGTACAGTTGTTTAAAAGCACAAAGACTTCTATTCATATTAAATACTTATAAAAATAAAAATAAGTATTCATAAAAAAATATATGAAAAACAGACGTCTCAACAAGTGTCTATCAGATGTCTAAGAAAGACATCTATTATCTGATCGTCTTTAAAGTTTCTTTATCTGATTTTTATCTTATTTGCCTCAAGAATTTACATATAAATTAGACGTCTCATCTGTAACTAACAGATGTCTGAAAAAAGACATCTAATATGTGATTGTCTTTTGGATGTCTCAATTTTATCTTAGATATTTCAAAACGCCTGAGACACTAAAAAGACGTCAAATAAACTTCTTTGTGCCCGCTGGAAATCAGTATTTACTTGATTTAATGGTTTCATTTCAAAATATAGTTAATCCAATAAAAGCCCAGGTATTGCACAAGATTATTTCAAAAACTGTTACGGCTGTTTATAAAAAAAATTACTAGTATCAAATTTAGCTGTCCATTATTTGGCCATCCAATAGAGTTATCTGTTAACAAAATTCTAACTTATAAAAAAAAATTTATTTTTTTTATGAAAGTTAAAAATTAGTCTTGAAATAAAACAAAAAGCCATTTTTAAAAAGCTTTAATACTTACAGTAGCGCTTTAGGTAGTATGTAATAAATGGATACCAGGAAAGTTATCGTAATATTAACAAATCTTCAACGCAATAAAGACAAAGAAAAGAGAGTTAAAAATTAAGAAAAAAACGCAATTTTTTTTTCTACAAGAGAATGTAGGGTGTTGTAAATGAAGATTTTAAAGTGTTTGAGCCTATAACGAAGCCTTAATGGTAATTGCGCTTTACAATAAACTACTGTGGTGACCTGTGATCGCTATGAATGATCAAATAGCGTAACAACAACCATTGTCTCAAGCGTGTCCATAGTGTTTCAAGATTTAACTATAGTAATTGTTTATGATTCTTGTTGTAGCCAAAAAAAAAGTTAGAAGTGCAAAAATGAATGGTTGTTCAGAGCTTCAAATGCAAAGCAAGGATAAGTATATCACGCTTCATACTAAAAAAAAGGTAAAAATTTCTACCTTAGGGTAGGATATGTGATATAGCTCTAGTAAGTTATAATATATTACCTTTAGGTAGAAAATTATAATAAAAACAATGGTTTGTTATACAATTTTCTACCTTAAAGGTACAATTTTCTATATTAAAAGGTAGGAAGTTATACCTTCCTAAGGTTATATCAAATATCCTTCACTGCGGTAAAAATTTATATCTTTTTTTTAAGTGTGTTCAAGGAATGTTTTTTGATGGGAGAAAGATTAAAACTCTAATGGCTAAAAACTTAACTTATTTTATAAAACTTAACAGTTTTAATAAATCATAAAAAAATAGTACGTTGATCATGTTTCTCCCTCTTCTAGGTCTGTTGAAAACATTGGAAGTAGCAATATTTCATAATTGAATGAAACTGGGGTTTCATTTCATAAACTGGGAGTTGTTGAGTATGTTTGGTAGTTATGTGACGCTGTTACTAACACAGGCTGGATTACTGTCATTATATACACAATTAAAAAATTATAAAAGACTACTGCAGCGGGAAGATTGCCTACTCGGCGTATTACCTTTTCAGCATTTTTTTTTTTTTTTATGTTAGACGGAGAAACAACTGGATAAAAATTATTTAGTGATCCAATTAGCACACAGCCTAATAAATGTCAAGTATTAATAGTGGAAATATTTATCATTGTTGATTGTAAAATTCAAGAAATTGACTGTAAAATACTAGCAGGTGATTCTTGAACGAGGTTCTTTCCAAATGGTATTAAAGTTAATAGCTCTAATAATTGAGAGAAACGTATTTACCACCCAAACAAAATATTTTATAATACGATTTTAAGCGTAAATAAAAGATATTAACGACAGGACCGACGACACGGGTTGCAAAGTGGATGGGCACAATCGTCTATTTCTAAAAAAAAGTCCTCTATATCTAGTAATTAAAAAAAAAAGGTTCTTTAGAAAAAAAGTGAAAAAAAAAATTCCTCTGGTGTCGTCGGCACAGTTCTAACAACTTAACCCACATTAAATTGCGCAGGTAATAAAAACTTTAAATTCGCGCAGATAATAAAAACTTACTTCTAGATCTCTTAAATTAAACGTAACTTGAAAGTTCATGTTAAACTTTTTATGAAATTCGGGATAAGCACGCATAATTGATAACAAATCATCACGTGGCATGTATTGGATGTCACAGTATGATAGTGCACGCACACTAGCACACGATTTACCAACAAGACGATTATGGACTTTACCAAAATTTTCTCCGAATGAATCACATTTTCCTAAGATATTTGAAAAAAGATGTTCAATAAAACTTTCTTATTTAATTTAAAAAAGAACTCAATAAAACATTGATGAAATTGCAACGTAGTTGCATCATTACGCAATATTATTTTATTACATTGCAATACTATTGCATTGCAGTGTTATGTTATTTTATAACAATACGTTTTTTTTATTATTATTTTCTTTTCTCTATTCTAAAATAAAATAAAATTTTTACAAATTCATAATAAAAAATATAAAAATAAGTAAAACAGACAGGGGCTCAAAGAAGATGAGTATGGATGAGTAAGATTTTTAAGAGTCTTTATAAGAGTATACGCCTTTATATTATTTGTTTCAGACAATGTTTTTATACTTGTCTGAATATATTAATTTTCTGAAAATGTAAAAAACTTTTAAAATTTATTTTTTTATTATTTATTCATTATTTTTTGTTATTGTATTTCATAAACAAATAATACAATGCATGGGGTATTTTGGTGATCCGTTTTAATAAGAGTATATGATAACGATGCCTCTTCAGTCGAAAATGTAGGTATATTAATCATTCTAAATTTCTACAAATTTATTTTTCAGATGAAAAACCATAAAAGAGACTTTTTATTTAGAATGATGATTTTTGGAAGAAAAAAAAATTGTTGCAACTAATTCAAAAGCAAAATGATGTTTCGATCAAACACTTATTTTCTTGATTTACTTAAATACTAACGTACTTGACGTACTTATTTGCTTTTAAAAGTATTACACTTGCAACTTCTATAAAAACTTCTACTAACTATGGTTGATATTAGACCTTTAACGGAGTTAAAGGTCTAATATCAACCATAGTTTGGTAGCATCAGACACAGTTTGGTATGCATGCAGGATGATGTTTACTTCAAAAAAGGTTTTATATAAAAAAGGCTGAAAATATTTGAACTAAAAAAAATAATAAAGAAAGTCGAAAAGTTAAAAATTTGAAACTACCTATTCTGTAAAATTGTATAATTGTCTAATTGTTAATTGTATATTTTTAAAATATTAATCGATAACTAAAAATTATAGTATGAAGTATTTAAAATAAATTTATAGGTAAGAAAATTAGAAACAAGTTTATTACAAGTAGTGCAGCAAAAAATTAGAATAATCAACCAATTAAATTAGTAAAAAAAAAAAAAAAAGAGTAAGTGATGTAACAGGTACGTTAATGCTGGCGTAATATTATTGGTGGCCGTTGTGTTATTAGAAAACTTACTGGTTTTAAACAATGATATTTCTTAATTCTTTAAAATCAGTGAGGAAAAATGATTGTAATTAAATTAATAAATAAAAATATTTACCTAAAACAGATAAAACTTTATCTCCTTTGATAACTTCCAAAGTACCTCGTTCAACCCACATTAAGTTTACTATTTCATCTCCGTAATGGATTATATAGTTACCCGGCGTGTATCTGGTCGTTTTTAATTTAAGAGATAATGACCGCAAACAACCAGGCGATAAATCGCGAAAACCTGAACTTCGCGAAAACAAGTTTCTGTTTAAGTGTAGACATATATCTGCTTGAAGGCCCTCTGGAAAATGCCCTAATACCTAAAAAACAACAATAATTAAAGAGAAATAAAAAAACACGTTTACACGTTCTATAAGCAATGCTTGTGACAAACCTCGTTCATATCAATGCCGTTAGTGTATGAATAATTGTATTGGGAATAATCTTCTAATCGTTGACGTAAAGGGGAGGGAATTTGATAAAATCGAATGAACTGTCGAACCTTACGCATAGTTGATTGATAATGAGCAATACCTGAATACAGTCTCTGAATAACTGCGGTGACATTACCGAATATAACAGCATACATTAAAGCTAAATAAATTTTAAAAAAATATTTGTTAACTAAACAAAGCTCATACAATATATAATTCATATAACAATATACTTTACCTCCAACAAGCATTATAAGTATGGCAAATATTTTTTCCCCATTTGTATTTGCAGAGACGTTTCCAAATCCGACACTAGTCATACTACTTAGTGTAAAATACAACGCCGTTAAATATTTAGTTTTCAAATCCGGATTCATTTCTGTTTCATTAATTGATTTCAAGTCATTACTGAGCTTTGTTAACCAGCTAAGACTATTTTTGGCACGATATTCATGAACTCCTATAGCGTACCATATACATGCTAACCAGTGAGCCACTAAAGCAAAACCAAATACAAGAAGTAATAGCAATGCTATATTATATTCAGAATACATGTCAATCTTGCGCGCGACTTTAGCCAAACGGAGTAAACGTGCCGATTTAACCAAGTTTATCAGAGTAATCTAAATAAAGATGTTAAAAATTATCTATGTAGACTATTTAAACTTTTTGGATTCACAGATAATAATACTGAATTATGCCTTGTTTAATTAAAACAAAAATATATCGGATAAAAAGGATAGTACAAAAAACAGGAGTTTAAAGTGTGGCGAATTAAGTGTAACGATACAGCAAATCAAAAGGTACAAACGAAATCAAGACAATGAATCAGATAAACTTAATAAAAATCGTAATTATAAATACTTGTGTTTATGCCGTTTTTCGTTTTTTGTAAACACCGTATTTTTTTGAACTTTTTTAAAAAATAACCGATACCAGTATTTTTTGAGAATTTTGAATAGCCAAAACCGATATATGCAAATATCGATACTTATTGATAAAAATCGATAAATATTGATACTTATTGATAAAAATCGATAAATATCGATAACTATTGATAAAAATCGATAATCAATTGGTATATTAATTTACTTTTTTAATTAAAATATTCGCTACAACAGTTGTTATGGATATTATTGCAAATATAATATTTACAGTCTCCGACTTTTTCTTTTTAATAACTTAACATCTTCCTTTTTATGGTCAACACTTATTTATTACACTAATTTTCTGTAGGGGAGAACCTTAATGAATGGGACAGTTTTCGTAAAATGCATTTTTTGAGGTTGATAAATTTGTTTAAAAATCACTTTGAAAATAGTTTGATAACTGTTAACTCTCGTACTATGATAAACAAAAACAAAAAAAATTGATTCCGCATATGGGTATTGGTAAAAAGAGAGTTTAATAAGACCATGGCATTTGTCCCATTCATTAAGAACTACTCATTGAATGGGACAAATAAAATTATTGAATGGGACAAATCTAAAAAATTAATAAAAGAAGAGAGGTCCTATGTAACTTTCAAGCCAGTCAAGCAGTAAGGGTAGTTTCTACCATTAGGGAACCCGAAAAAGCTATAAATATGGCCGAATGTCTGCATATATTGACAAACCTAAAATAGTTTTATTAAAAAATATATGTATATTAAAATTAAATTAAAAACACGAATAATTGTTTTTAGTAAAACAAAAAATTTTATTAAAAATAAAATTATGTGTGACCATAACTAAGTTGCCGAAATATATTTTTCTACTTTTTTCATATCAGGCTGTTTGGACAAGTCCCATTCAATAATCAATACTTTGTCCCATTCAATAGGCTTCCCACTATATCCACAAATGACAGAACAGGTTAAAAACAGTAATACCTAAACAAAAATACTTTACAAATTTAAAAAGTAGAGACATTTGGGTGTTGAAAATTGGAGTTTCATTTTCCTTAACTTTAGTAATCGCTGCAAAATCAGACACAGAAAATTGTTTTTAAAAATTACTTATTGTTCTTCAAAACACAATAACATCCAATGCCATTACGTTTAGACCATAATAGAAATAAAGATTTGGTCTGTTGAATGGTTGTGTCAAACACTTATTACCACAGGAGTTTGGATAGCCAACCGTAGATGCTTCTATGCAAATTTGATTTTGTCCCATTCAATAATTGTCCCATTCATTAAGGTTCTCCCCTAAATTATAATGTTTGTTTATCATCATTGTCATCTATCATTAGATTAAAAATAAAATTACAGGAATTGATTAGTTGCAAGGTTTTATGTTATGACAACAAGAGTTATCTATACAAACTAATAAACTTTAATTGATCATCTGCTTTTAATCAACATACTTTACAAGAACTATTTAAAATCTCAAAACAATAAGAAAACTATACAATTTAATTTTAACCATGTACCTTTAAAGCTGGTTAACTATGTACACAAGCCTGTACCACTTTTTTTTTTTTTTCGACAAACAAAAAGTGTGTAAAGATTTTAGCGGGTAGAAGTGCTAGTCAAAAGAATTAAGTCTAAAGAATGAGAAACATTGTTATCTGCAGATTGCGCCATGTTGTAGATAATGAATAGAACTGTTTTGTTTGGAAAGTTAAAAAGACTTTATTCTGTGTGTAAAAAATAAATGATCAACAAAAAAGTCATGATCTACAATTACATATGGAATCGTTTTAATAGTTTAGGAAGCAGATAAAAAAGCTTAACATTTTTGTAAAGGTTTGTCCATATCTAAAGCGAATACTCAGTCATATTTACACACACGCAATTTAAATTTATATCATTTTTTATATTAAAACTTATATCAGTGTAATTGGTTTTACCTCAATAACTTAAAGAAATTTTAAATTTTTGTGTGTTATAATAAGATGTGTTATATAATATCCACTATTACACTTTAATCAATTCATTTACAGTAATGTCACAAATATAAGATTGTTGGTTTAATTACATTTATTCTTTGGAAGTGTTGTTTTAAAGTTGGAATGTATTATTTTTATTGATTTTTTTTTTTGTTAAAATGTTTATACATACTTAAAGTCAAACTTTTTAATTTTAATTTAGCAATTTAAAAGTTTTTTTTATATCGATATCGTTTTATTTATACCTATATTGAGTTTTACATATATATATATATATATATATATATATATATTATATATATATATATATATATATATATATATATATATATATATATATATATATATATATATATATATATATATATATATATATATATATATATATATATATATATATATATATATATATATATATATATATGTATAACTCAATATAGGTATAAATAAAACGATATCGATATAAAAAAAAACTTTTAAATTGCTAAATTAAAGTTAAGAAGTTTGACTTTAAGTATGTATAAACATTGTATGTATAAACAATGTATGTATAAATGTTTGTATGTATAAATGTATAAACAATGTATGTATAAATGTATAAACAATGTATATATAAATGTATAAACAAAATATATCGATATCGGGTTGTTTATATCGATATTGGGTTGTTTATATCAAGTTGTTTATACCAATATCAAGTTGTTTTCCAGTGTTGTCATGATTACCATGCCACTAGTAGCATATAATTCAGTACCTTCCCAATGTTCTACTGCCATTTAGAATTTCCTTCTCTTTCCAAAGACTAGGAGAAGTTAAATCTGACCTAAAACACCCCTTGACACGGGGCTATAGGTTTGGTAAAGAATAGAGATAGTGTCTTAATAAAAATACTTATTTTGGACATATGTTAACTGCATCCAGGTACTATCTTATAGAAGGTCTCCTAGGCAAAGAATTTAAGAGAAAGCAAAAAATTTTGTTAACCAATCTTGCTCCCCTTCTTCATTTAGCAGGCTAGTGTAAGTGTAAACATATGTGACATTGTTTCCTACCAGTCTTTTCGTGATCACCTGCTACTTGTGTTTCCTGCCTAGAATAAAAAGCTCTAGATATTTTTAAATCTACTCATAGGTTTTTGTTTTTGTTTTCTTGTTAGTAGCTGGGAAACTCTTTCTGCTATCTCCTAATAAGGGCTCAGCTTTGAGCATAGGAACGACCACAAATAGCCATAAAGGCTAATTCAAAGTAGTGTTCGTTGTTGACCAACATTTCTGCGTACCAAAGTACTACTTAAACACTGAGTTGGAAGTGGCTGGATTTGATCTCATATTGAAGTACAGTCCAGGTTGAATATCATATTAAAGTACAGTCCAGGTTGAAACATTTTATTTTAACATTCAACTATGGTTGAGTTAAGTTCTCTATGTATTAAAAACATGAATAAAGTGCCAAAAAAATGTTTATAAAAGAATATGCCACCAAATAATTTTTATCCTTCCCAAATATTCGTTGTCTTCAAACTAAATTTTCATCCGTTGAATTTTACCTTCTTCAAAGTTTTCCAAACTTACTTTCTCTTTCTGATACTAACTTGAATTTGGCTGTTTCAGTACCACTTCACTCAACCACCTTTCTTTTTGTTCTTTATTGTTTTCCTTTATTTCAAGAATGTATTCATTTTGATGTTGCTTTTGATCGAATTTATCTAGAACATTTTCTTTATCCCTCCATCAACATTGACTTAAATGTTCATAACACTGAAATGCTTTAATCAAGTACGACCTACAATAGTGTTTGGCCCAACTCATTATTTCATCAACGTTGAAAACATTAAATGAGTTTATAAAAATACAAAAATGATGGATGTATTTATAATAAATATCTATTAGCATTTAATTTTCATGTGTTAACGTAGTAATTTTCAAGTACTAAGGATTAAATTTTTTTTTTTTTTTTTTTTGTTATTTAGGTGCCTCAAGAAGACCAAACGGTCTTGTCACAGAGCACCGCGGATGTGCATTCAACCAGGAAGTTCACGCCTCTAACCTTTCCGTGACGCGAAAATATGTCCAGAGCTTGTTTCGAGCCTGGATCTTCTGCTTCTAAAGCAAGCGCTCTAACCACTGCGCCACGGCCGCAATTTATAGTTGTTATTAAAAAAAAAAAATTTAATGTTTCGTAAAGTCCATATAAGTTCCTAACAAAAATTAAAAAAAAATTTAAAATTTTAGAAAGGTTTGTGTTTAAATTTACATCTGGTGCATTTTTTATTATTTTTATTTTTTTATTAGCGACTTAAACTTTGTTATTATTTTATTAGGGTTTTTAACATAATATATTTATGGATATGCTTTATTAAAACTTTATAAACTTTTCTACGAAAAGATTTCGATTAAAAAAATAATAATTTCAATAAAATCTTTTCAACTTGTTAAAATTTATTTCAAGTCATCATCAATTTTTTTTTTAATTTTCAAGGATCGCTGCGCCGGTTTTTATCTGGGCGGTTAAGGAGGCGGGGCCGGAATAAGGAAAATTAAATCGGTAAACATGTTTTTTTTATTTTATATCAAACTTTATACTTTATTTAAATATATTAAAAAGTGTGTATTGAGAGAGAGGGAGGGGGAAAGGGTTGGATCAAACGGTATTCCGGTATCATCTTTCTCGCCGCCGCGATCTCTGTAATAGTTTGAAATATCAATAAAAATATAATTAAAATTATCTATTAAAAGTTTATCAATAAAAGACAACAAGTAAAGTAAAGAAGAAAAGCGTAACAAAAATTTTATTGATTTTTATGTATAACAACAAATGGTAATTTTTCATAAGAGAAAACAATAAAACATATAGTAAAAATTTATATTCTTGCAATTTATTTTAATACCTGATTGATTTTTGAAAGAATGCATAGGTATTGAAATGGAAATGCTGCCAAAAAGTCCAAAATAAACCAGCCTTTTAAATAATTGACCGCTATTCGGCATGAATTGGTGACAACCTAAAATAATCTAATGATTTATAACTCAATTTTAAAAATACGCAAAAAAAAATTTTTTTTTCCAACCTACCTCGTCATTTGAATCCACAAAAGTAGTTCGAAAATTTATTGCAATATCAGCAACAAACATGACGTCAACTACTACATCGATAATTTTTAACGATTTATTGGGAGGGATACAAGATTCTGAGGTTGATAGAAACGTCACCACATAAGGAGTCACTATTGCTGTGTACATAACCAATAGTAAAATAAACCAATCCCAAATTGCTTTGCATCCAGAGTAATGGAGAATTATAAAAGAATGATTACATTCTTCGTTGCACCTGATTTGTGGCAAAGTATCAGAACCCAAAGACATTACCTAAATTAAATAACCATTACTGTAATTATTATTATCAACAATACTATTATCAAATATATTGCTATGTTAACCTTAAGTGCTGACAGTGTTGAACGTAATAATGTTTGGGAATTAATGGTGGATTTACGGTAACTTCCCCTCCATCGTTTTACTGATCTTCGTACGGACATTAGTAACTAAGTTTGGAGCTATTATAAAATTTTTTCTTTTTCAAAGATATTCTTAGTAATCAAACATGAATTGATAACTTTTTTTTTTTACATGATTCTTTTTAATATTAGCAAACAACACAAAAACTCTCTGAACTGATTTTTTTTATTATTATTATTATTTTTTTTTTTGCTGTTGTCCTTGATGGTGTTGATAAAATATTATTCATTTATCATAACGCCGCCATATTTACACGGATTTTAAAGGATTTACTTAAATTTCAAAACCACATTATGCATTTAAAAAAAGCAGGTGGGTTGTTCTAAAAGACAAAAACATAATTTATTGAAAGGTTGATAAAAACTCTTTATTGAATTTCGTTTTTGATAAACTTTCTTGTGTTTTGATCGCTTTATCATTTGCTATTAAATGAGATTTCTGTTTAAAATATATACTCATAACTATTCTTTTAAAGCGATTAAATTAAACAACATTTGAAATTCTTAGTTAAAACATTTTTTTTAAATTTTAAAATATTTTACGTCAAGGGCGAAGGGGCGTAGCTTTTAAAAAATACCATATAAGCTGTGTTAAATAAGAAAAAAATAATTAAGGAATGCATGAAGTAAATATATTTATAAACCATTTATTATTTTTGTGAAACCACTTTGTAACTTTTTGTTTTTATTTATATATTTACTGTTAACGACACTTTATTATGTAATTAAAAATTTGTTAATAAGGAACAAAAAATAAACTTAAAATAAATAAAGTAAAAATTTTATATATATTTATATACATATAATATATATACATATATATATTATATGTATATATATTATATATATGTATATATATATATGTACATATAATATATATATATATATATATATATATATATATATATATATATATATATATATATATATATATATATATATATATATATATATATATATATATATATTATTTATATTCGTTATATATAATAATATTATAATTATATATATATTAATTTTTTTTTTTATTTTGCTCTTGTCCTTGATGGTGTTATTCTTTTATCATAACGCCGTCATATTTGCACGGATTTTAAAAAATTTCCTTAAATTTCAAAACCACATGGCGATGGTAACATTTGAAGTTCTTAGTTAAAACACTTTTTTTAAATATAAAAATATTTAAAGTCAAGGGCGAAGGGGTGTAGCTTTAAAAAAGTACCATATAAGTTGTGTTAAATAACAAAAAAATAATTTAAGGAATATATGAAGTAAATATATTTATAAACCATTTTGTATTCTATATGCATATACACGCACAATACTTTTTAAAATAAAGACATTTTTTCAATTTCATTTAGAACCATATTTTTATTTAAAAAATATGTTTTGACAACAAGCCAGTTTTTACTAATTTGTTATTGCTCTGTTCTTTAAGAACATTGAGCACTGTATTTGTCGAACACACTAACATAGTATATATATATATATATATATATATATATATATATATATATATATATATATATATATATATATATATATATATATATATATATATATATATATATATATATATATATATATATATATATATATATATATATATATATATATATATATATATATATATATATATATATATATATATATATATATATATATATATATATATATATTGCAATTGATTAAAAAAGTGTAGTCATCTTTAATAATTAGAATTAAAAAAAAAAAAATTTATGTATTATTCTTCTCTTTTTAATGTTGCTATATTCATCTTTGAAGAATTTCTCTTAGAAATAATTTTATTTTTACTGTATATCACCCTTTTTACGCAAAATATTTGCACGTTAACAACATCTTATAAAATAATATATTCATTCATTTATAAAGTTTTTTTTAACATGAAAATCTTTATCATAGTAATTGATTTGTTAATTTGGGTGAATGAGACAAATTTCATCAACACGCAATTATTTTTTGCATCAACTAATATTTCTGGTGTGACTTCAACTCAATTTGGTTATTTTTTTAATTAAAGTATTCAAAAAACTTAGTCTATGTCATTATACATTATTATTTTGAATAAACCTCTATTACCTTATTGGTTTAAATTTTGATTGAGTTCTTGCCTTTTCATGAAGTACAGAAATTGTTGTATCTTCTGTGTAAAATGTTTAAATAACTTCAACAAGCTTTAGTTATCAAAAGAAGTTTGTATGCGCACTTTCTTGCGTGTCTTTATGTTTCAAAATTAGAATGAACGGGGATAAGTTGATCACATTTACCAGTCAATTAATTTGTACACATCAGGCTCTGCAGTTGGATCCATTTTTGCATGAAATTTCTAAGTATCTTTGATCATCTCTATGTAATCTGACTCTTGAATAAACTTTTGATATGTCACATAAATCTTGTGTGTGTGTAAATATACATAGGTATATATGTATATACATATATATATATATATATATATATATATATATATATATATATATATATATATATATATATATATATATATATATATATATATATATATATAATATATATATATATATATATATATATATGTTATATGTATGTATAGGGAAAGTCGGGTAGCCCCGGAGGGCGGGTAACTGCGGACACATGATGTACAGCTTAAACTAAAGAAGCTATGTGACTTTTAATACTAGAATAACATTATTTGAGTGAAAATATGGCATATGCAAAATATCTATCATAAAACGCCGAAGCGAATGATTGGGAGAGAAAGATTTTGTTTTGCATGACCAGAAAAGCGACGGATCATCATATTTGATATTATTATATCAAATTTTTATGTAGACTAATAACTATCTAATGATTAAAGATATATTTTTATTTACAATAGTTATTAAAAAAAAATTCGTTAAAAAGTTTAATTTACTGGTTTTAAAACTACTATTTGTGAATGAGGTATGATCGGGTGGTATCGGACACATGTTTGGAGGGTGGCTCCGGACAACTTAATTTGTTTACATATTAATAATAAACAACTTTTTGTATATAAATATTAATACATTTAATATAATACACAAACTTATAACATAATTCATTTAATTCCAAAAATAACGTTAGATTTGCAAAAAGTGTTTTTAAACTGTTTATTTTCATTATAAAAAAGCTTATGTTTATATTTTTAAATGATGACATTTTCATTCTCATTCCTTATATATCAGAGGCAATTTTTAAAGGCGATTTTTTTAAAAATGTGTTGAGAACAGTCCAATGCTAAATTATTATATATTACATTTGTGTCACACTGGTAAAAAAAAAGGTAAAATTATGGTTAAACAATCTGTCCGGGGCTACCCTCCAATTTTAAAACATGCCTTTTTTCTTTTATGTTTTGTATATTATTAAAATACACTATAACTATTTCTTTGTTTCTAATTCGATAGATGAATGTTTGAACTTTTAAAAAAAGTCTTTTGATACTTTTTTTTCTGTTGGTACAAGTGCCAGTTTAACACCATCGTATAACTATCATCTGTCTATTTTCTTCCCATTAATAATAATATTTTAATTGCATATCTTTTTTCAATAATAATTTTAATTGCATATCTGTTTTAATTTCCCATAAATTGTGTTTTGATTTTATTTTGGTTTTTGAGGATACCCTCAAGATGTTTAACCCATTTTTGAATTTTTGTAGCTGCTATTTCAAACCTTTATATTTTATTGACACAACCTTTTTAAATTTTACAAACATAATCTCCACAACTTTTTTATATTTTATTGGTATAATCTCCGCAACCTTTATATTTTATTGACATAATCTGCACAACATTTTTTTGCAATTGATGGTGAAAAAATCCACGACCAGTATTTTTAGGTTTTTCAATCGGTTTTAATGTCTCGCTTTATAAATATTGGCGTAACTAAAGTAATGTTAAATTTTGCTGTAGCTTCATCAATAGGGGAGAGTCGGGTAATAGCGAACGCGGGGTAAACCCGAACAAGGTCGTTACGGCATATTAGAAAAGGATAGTTGACAATCTTTTTTTTTCTGACGAGAGTGGGTTCCATGCTCAATTCAAGGCGTGCAGTAGTGTAGTATAGATGCGCAGGTTTTTCATGATAGATTGATTCTAAGTTTTTCTCTTAGCTTCATGTAATTTTTATTTGCGAAAAATTATGTATTGGCTATACTATGTATATAAAACCACGCATTTATTTATGTTGTTGCAAAGTATCATAATCATGGAATTTGTAACACGTATTATATTTAGGGTATGATATTACTACCACAACATATTCGTTTAATTTCAATAAGTTGGATCGCGGGAAAATAAAGAACGATCTTAGTGGGGTAATCGCGAACGCTTATTGATTTCTCAAAGTATTCTAGCGTATCTGATAACACACGGGCGTTTCTTAAATAAAGTTGTTATACATTATTTATTTAGTTTATGATTGTAATATATATATATACATATATATATATATATATATATATATATATATATATATATATATATATATATATATATATATATATATATATATATATATATATATATATATATATATATATATATATATTTATATATATATATATATATATATATATATATAAATATATATATATATAATATATATATATATATATATACATATATATATATATATATATATATACATATATATGTATATATATATATATATATATATATATATATATATTATATATATATATATATATATATATATAATAATAATAATAATAATAATAATAATAATAAAAATATTTATTATTATTTATATTATAAATAATAATAAATATTGTTATTTATAATTTAAATATAATATTTATTATTTATAATATAATATAATAAAACAGGATACTTTCTATAATATAAATAATAATAATAGAAAGTATCCTTGTTACCTTACAGAGAAGGTAAGCTACTTAAATATAATAAATAGATTAGTTTTTTTTACTATATCATATATACAAAAGACTAAAAAGCTTCAGCATGTTTAGGGGATATATTTCATGTATTCATTCAAATGTATCATGATCCACCCACGGAAGATTGGATTATGTGTTACAAATGTAAGCCGTGGTCCTACGAGAAGTGCACAAGTTGTACAAGCACACCCAGAGGTTTTCTCTGAAATTTTTGCTCTTAATTAATGGATATAATAATTTATAAATAACATTTATTGATATTTGACATTTCATTCATGTA